CGGTGTCATTGGCATGCCAGTACAATTCAATTATACTCTTCTCCTTTCTTTGACTGATTCATCCTTTTGCAGGTAATATGTGTTCTGGCCGCTGGCAAGCTCCAAGGGTTGTGAGTTGCGTGTCGGTGTGCCGGACTGCTTCACGGTCAGGGTGTGCATTGGACAGTGCGCGTTGCCCGCGTCGAGCTACCACCGGCGAACTCCTATCGTAGGCCATGCATGGGTCAGGGTCAGGGGTGCGTGCATGCATGCCTACGCTATCCGGGTACTGTGTCTACCGGAGTATCGGCCGCCGCACTGGAGCGTAAGCCACACCCAAATTTTGTATCGTGAAACACGTATGTATGAAGTAGAGTAAAAAGCTGGTGTGAGCGACCTCTCGTTTTAGCTGTCCCTACAGGATACCGCGATTCCGCGGACTCACAATTTTCCGCGTTCTTGGCTGCCATCCGCGTTTTCGAGAGATTTTGCATAAAACCCGCGTTATTCATGAAAATGTACTACAAAGTCGTACCGGTGCATGAGTTTGTACGACAAAGTTATAATACTTGCATGAAACTGCATGCTAAAGTTGTACAAATGACAGGGAACTCGTGCATAATGACCGCATATTTGCCGCATAAACCTGTTTTCGCCCGCATAATTATAGGATTTCGTCCGCGTTATCCTGTTGGGACAGTTTTAGCTACCACCTGCTCTTAACGACCGTTTTTTCCATGCACGGACAGTTCTACACATACACAGACACCGTGGAACCTACCTGGTTCTAAAGACCACCTGGCTTTAATTAACGACCGCTGTTCCTTGCACCGTGGGGTGGGGTGGTGTGGGGTGGGGTGGTGTGGGATGGTGTGGGATGGAGTGGTGTGGGGTGGAGTGGTGTGGGATGGAGTGGTGTGGGATGGAGTGGTGTGGGATGGAGTGGTGTGGGGTGGTCGCTTAAACACGTTTTTATTGTACATGTATTATTGCGCTTGTACACCTATACATGGCTAGCCTTTTAGCCGCACCGACTTTTTTGGCGGTAAATCACTGGTCCTAATAGGCCATTCACACGACGTGCAAACATTTGCACGCGTGTGACCTAGGTAACACGGGCAAACCGTGATCCAGTTCACACGGCGCTGCTGCGCTGGGCAAACTTTGCAACCGTCAATGTATCCATAGTGACCTCCCGAAAATGCCGGGAAATGTTAAATTTTGAATTTTCCTTTGTTCAAGCACTGCATTTGCAGTACGCACTTTAAACAACCGACACTTTTCCTGGCGTGCAAAGATAATCGCGAGCAAAAGGGCCTCGGCCAAGATAAAAAATCAGTTGCACGCGTGAGTCCAAGTTTATCGTATCCGAGTAAATATCCTTGGAAACAGTGCGATAAAAGTGAGTTTGCTCGCCGTGTGAATGGCCTATTAACGTGCAGCTTTTATACTTCAAATACTCCGGAAAATAAGCACTTCCATCTAGCGGGCACCCTTTGAACCCTTCCAGCGAGTTGCATGGAAATATTACTACTCACACCATACTTCAGGGATTCCCCAAAGGCCGAAGCCTAAATCAAGGGCACCGGGTGGTCTCCGCGAATATATACATTATCACATGAACAGCCTGGCTGCAACCTTTTCAGCAACCTGGCTACTTTGAGACAGCGCATATGTACATCTATGTAATTGTATTCCAAAATACATCCGAAAACCAATACCGCCGTTCCTAACTCCTCTTTTTTCGCCTATGAAGTTCTTAGCATTTCAGCCTACGACAATCTGCTGTACATGCTGAGTCCGTGACCTCTTGACATTTCGTCTGAAGAACGGACAAAGACCAGCACAACCCTCATCATGCTGTAACCGGTTTTATTTTGTGCAGAACAGTGGAGCTACTTGCGCAGCCGTAGTATGGAATAGTGGACATATCCGTTGGTGATGTCAGAGCGAGATAGGTATGAAGACAAGAAAAGGGGAAGGACGGGGGGGGAGAGGGGAGGGGACCAGAAGTGTATTCTAAAACTGGAAGTGAGAGCTTGATATTTTACCTGACACAGAGGGGAGGGGGGGGGGGGAAGGATCAATCAGATAAATCGCCAGATAACGGAAGAAAGTAAACGAAGACGTGAGCAACATAGCTTACACAGCAGACTACTCAACACTATCATACAGATATCACGTGACTATTATTAAGTTAATGTGATAATGATTACTTCTTGTTGCCGTCGGGTTGGAAATATCCGGGGAAGGGATTGCGGTTGGCAGTGACGAGGTGTTCATTTAGTCGGCCTGTTTGAGACGAAGCAGAAAAGCAAGTAGAGAGAACACACACAGCGGCGTTTTAAAGACAATTTCCATAAGAAAAACGGACCAATGCACGTGGACGTCAGCGAAAGGAATGTGTGCGCGTGTGTGTGCATCGACCCTGGAAGGCCTTTGGGCGAGCGGACACGTGGAGACCCAGCATTCCCGTTACAAGCAGTGCACTCCAGGGGAATAAGGGTAAATCTATAGTCAGGTAGATAATCGACGCGGAGACACCAAATTTAGCGATAAAGAGAATGCGTTCTGCCACGTCTCCCGTCTCCAATTCTATGGTTATTTTATTCTATTTAAATACCGACCCGAAAGCAATGCGGAAGACATCCTGCTCACTTATTATTTGAATAGAGGTTGCCATCAGTAGCACTTTTCTGCTCCCTGGCTTGCAATGCACACGGGACCATAGCACAGGGTGAGCACCAGCACCACCACCACCAGCAGCACCACCATCAGCAGCACCACCATCAGCAGCAGCACCACCATCAGCAGCAACAGGTCTACTTACCGTGACAAACGTGACGGGCCGAGTTCGTATTGGCGTCAACCCAGGCTGTGCTACTGTTGAGAGCCTTGTAGGTGAACGTGCCAAAGGGCGGTGCGGTGTGCGTGGCTAACCACATATTAACAGTCTCGACGACGCACTCCTTGCGACACCTAGGGCCGCTAGTCTTCGCCTTGCACGGAGAGCGGCAGGTGCTGCCGCCGAAACTATGCCGAGCTCTGCTGAAGTTTCCAACCCAGAAGTTGAGCGTGGCAACTTGTCCGACGGGCAGCTTGTGAACGGGGAACATGTCGTGGCTGAAGCAGGATTGGTGGAAAGTTTGGGTGGGAAAGAAATCCATCATTGGGACTCCGGCGAGTTGGCACATGGAAACGGCATTGGCGTGCGTCATATCGGAGTCCCAGACAGAGTAAATCATTTGAACGATCCACCAATTTGAGCAGGAAAACCCTAAGCAGAGGAAGGACATATCACGTGATCAGACAATATCCACAGAGAGTACAGAAGGGATTTTATGCAGGCATGTGCACTTAAATACTGCAAAGCAATTCTGCGCCATAAGAGTCCGCGCTGCAAATAGAACTTTTGTGACCTATTATACGTAATTTCAGAATTCAAAATTTTAAATTTCCGGGCACTTTGGACACATCGACGCATGCACAAGTTTATCGGAGTGAATTAGATCACGTGTGCAAAGTGTTTGCACATCGTGTGATTGGCATAGCAACAAAAAATGGCCTACCCATGCACTTCTCCGCTAACACACATGTACATGGTCAGGCATAGGGCAAATGTATGTAGTGGTCTACCCATACACATGATACATGATGACCTAACACACAGGCCAATTCGGCCAAAATAGAAAAAACCCAAGCAGGGATATTTGAATTGGGAAAAAGTACGGCTGGACTGCGTAAACTGAGGTGGTACTTCGGAAACATGTCCTGCCACATACGTGCCAAGTACATGTTTTATGTGTTGATTGTTCACAAAATGTGTTATTTTGCCCGTACAGGAGGCTCAAAGAGTGAAAAAAACACACACACACAGTACATGTTTACTGAGGAAGGTAGAGAGAAGATTCAATGGAACTTACGCTTCAGCCAGGGCGGGAAGTCGCCATACTTCCTTGATTCCTTGATCTCGGCATCGGTGTAGGGCCAAGACACAAAGGATTCGGCTGGTTTCGCAGCTAGACACCAACAGAGACCAGGACAGACAGACAACGAACCATTATCATCAGTACATGTGATCGCAAACGCAAACATAGGATACCAGTGTGTCACAGACTCAGGCACAAGAGATCCATAGGCAACTGATAAAAGAACTGAAAAAAATACTACCATTGCTTGCTTCCTAAAAGGTAGAAAAGGTGTTCTACCCACTGTAGGCTGTTTTGAATAGAAGCCTGATTTTCAAGATACACAGTCGGCACATAATATAATTAGGTGAGAAAGTCTGTGGGGATTGTCCTAGTAAAATAATAAATACTACTACTACTACATAAGTGTTAGTGTTGAGTCTGTTGACACGCGTAGAAATACCTGGTTTGAATACAAGACTGATGTGAATATAGGCCTAGCCCTGAGATCAGCGACATTTCGGTACATGTATATGCATTACAGCACAGAAAACGGCTCTTACCCAGCAAGGCGATGAAGGACACAGCGGCAAGAGCCAACACGATCTGGAGATGACCCATCGTGCAAGTTCGGCGGAATGTCCGAGTTCCTGCAAGGAAGAAAAAGAGAAGAACAGATAAGAGAGTGAAGCTGCATGTGCATTCAGGATCGACACTTGAAACAAGACAGCAGACAGAACTGGACGGATTTCAGCGAGCAGGGTATAGAGCACAGGGCGACAAAGCACACAACAGACACAAGTAAGATGGGTAAATGGAAGTGATTCCCCCACTACCAGCTCCTTGACCACAGTTAACAGCAAGTCATTTGAATCATTCGCAAGAACAAAATGAACTGGACGAAAGGAACTTAGTGGTCAAAATCACAACTAGGAAGTTTAGCAGTAGACAAGTGCAAGCGACTCTAAGTAGACAACATCAGCGACACACTACCGAAGTCAAAGGCAACACAAATGAACACGGCAATAAACATCGACTTACCTTCAAAAGTTCTGATGACGGAAAATTGATGACAGTATCTCAACAACGAGTCCCGAAACTATCAAGGTGGAATATGTTCCGAAGATGAAGAAACACGGACGGGATCACCAGTTTTAATGCCCGCTCGCCCCACCGAAACTTCGAACAACCAACCGTTTGATGGCTGGTCCCGCCACACCGTAGTACGGTGCCGTACACGCATCGTACACCATACATCCTACACTCCTTGTTGCCATGGAGCGGGCCAATCAGCGCGACAGTTAGTCCACCCCGCTCGCCCCGCGGAAAACTTCGAACAACCGACCGTTTGACGGCGGGTCGCGCCATACCGTAGTACCGTACAGTCCCGTGGACAGGCATCGTACACCATACATTCTACGCTCCTTGTTGCCATGGAGCGGGCCAATCAGGAAGTGCGGCCAATCAGGAAGCGCTATCAGGAAGCGCGGCAATTAATACGACACCCAGACTTTGTCAAATTTTCAAACCAAGACTCGTACTCGTAAATTTTCCTTTTTTTGAAGATGTAACGAGGTCTGTTCGCCACAAATCCAATAATTGAAACAAATCAAGAGTACATGAGAGAGTTTTATGGCGGGCATTTCCTTGAATTCTGCTCCATTTTTTAATCCACATACCAAACATGCATGAAACTTACCAGAAAAAGTACCGAATTCTGCCAATTTTCTACCGGCAGACTCCGCCGGACCCTACAACTGCCATCTAGAGCACACAAGAAGTTCATCGTACCTTCCACTCGGCAAACCTGCAAGAAAGCACCACTCCCTGCTCAATACATGTACACAGTGTTTCGCGGACTTCACCCCTCATCAGTTCAGCTTGAGTAGGCTGAGGAAGATGGTGGTGCCTGAATAGCGCGAGCTCCAGTGAGTGTGGGGAGCAGATCCAGTCCGAAGTATTTTTCAGCAATTAATGAAAAGTAGTTTTGAACTTGGATGGAGAGTCAAGGGTGTGTATTGTATTTGTATTTATTCCCGTAGCTATGCAGAAGACGTTACTTCAGTAACGTCTGGCGCTAGCCAAGGTCCATACAGCTTTAATTTGGTATTTGTGTGTGTATTTGTTTGTGTGTTTGTGTCACACCTGGAGCTATCCTGTATCTGTCCCGTATCTGTCCCTTATCTGTGACTACAAAGGCTCTACAGGATTGTACATACCAGCTGGCCACAATATTTGCTGGCTCTCGTATCTGTCCCGTTCCGTACCATCAAACACAGCTAGCTGGCCACAAACAGCTGGCCACAATATTCGTCGTATTATGTATACGACTCCCTGATGTTGGGAGATTTGGAAAGAAATAGGGAGACAAGGAGGAAATGAAATTAGAATGGACGTTAGTTGCCGAATAGGTGATAGGATGCGTCAGCAAAAACATACTTTGGAAGAGAGATCCCGTCGTCTCCAAAATAAGCGTGAACGGGCGATTCAGCGCCGGTCACAGGAAACGTCGGAAGAGAGATCCCGTCGACTCCAGAACGCCCGTGATCGGCAGAGTCAGCGCCGGTCCCAGGAAACGTCAGGACAGACATCCCGTCGACTCCAAAATAGTTATTTTTCTCTAATTTCGTCCACTTTTGGTTTGCTCCTTCTTTTCTTTTTCAAAACTCCAATCGGCCAAAGTTTAATGACGGTGCAAAGTTTCGTTTCGAGATCGGCCAAAGTTTCTCATCAGCCAAAATTTGTTGATTTACAGTATAAGGAGATAAAGAGAAAAGAAGGAGCAGACCAAAAGTGGTTGAAATTAGAGAAAAATAACAATCCGCAGTAAATTCTGCAAATACTTTTGCCTAACACATATTCAAACTGATTGAAACGTTTTTGCAATACAATGATGTGGCCAATCAACGGAAAAAAAACATTTCCATCAGTTCTAATAACATGTACGATGAGCTAGGCAAAGAAGCATAAGAGCATAGCGTAGGGCCCTGAGCTTCCAAGCTCTCTCGTTGGTTTCATGTACTCTTGGACGGAAGAAAACCAAAACGCTGGCCAAGGTGGAAGAATTTGAAAACTGAAATGTAAATATGTTCTGCCGGATAAATTTGGGTGCGTGAACAGTCGAAACAGGGAATGACAGCGATAAAGTGTGATTGTTGCTGCCACGTAAAATCTCAGCAGCGACAACAACACTCGATCAAGGAATGCTCGTACCGGTAGTTGAAAACAGGCCACACGATAACACTCCGAGCCTCAAACAATTTTTTGATTGAACGTTCGAAAACGAAACAAAAGTGACAGAAAACGAGGCCAGCACGCCGTTTCGAACTTTTGACTGTTCACGCACCCAAATTTATCCGGCAAAACATTTCCGTTTTCAAAAGGGTTGGTCAATACATTCCGGCAAGGAAAGCAAGGAACGCTTTTTCACATGTTTGTAGGCTGCAGACCCGGGAAATGTTTTGTTCAGACATGGCCGGTGCTTGTTGCCAGGTGACAGCCAATGAGCGGCCAGAATAAGCGGGTGAAACCAGGCGATGTTGCCCTGGCCCTGCGCGCGATACGGTACAACTACAACTGCTGTTCTTGCGCGCATATATCCGGCCGGGCAAGAACAGCAGTTGTACAACATCGCGCCGCACATGCGCATTTACCATTTTTCGAAGTCCTTGCCTTGGGTCAAAATCTCTGACGAGTTCTTCTACATTTGTCTCGCTTCTCCAATATTACCAAGAGTATATAACCCCGGGTTATGTACTCTTGATATTACTCACCACTGTCCTGAACTCGCGTCTGTACGTGTAACCTACTACTACTAGGGAGACCAGAAACGCCATCCGACCTTGCAGCTGGTCATGTTGCTCGGCGAAGCGCACGTAACGGAAGCAAACCTCAACAAATACCTGCAGCTTCTCAGCACTCGCATTTGAACCTTACCTTGACGATCATCTCTTCTTTCTCGGAGAACGGGTTTATTCAATCAGTTATATTACTGCTGCCTTCACTCTATAGTAGCTGAATGCTTTCATCTCAAAACTGGAAGTATTGACACTACTATTGAATGCCGTGCCCCGATCATAGGGTAGAATCTGAATTTTGCGGTGGCGTAATATCGTTGGTAGTTCCCAATCTGGAGGGAAAGGTTCAAGGAATCAAGGATGCAAAAAAATCGCATATCATGGAAAATCTCCATTACAGAGAAGTTCAGTGGCTTGTTTGCTTCATACGAAACAAGGCAATGGGTCCAGTCCTGTCTCGTGAATATCTCGTATGATTGGATTTGTGTAATCCGACATGGTCTTGTCTGCAGAGTTGTAAATGTGTGTGTGTGCGTCTGTGTGTCTGTTAGGCAATGGCGGATAATGCTCGTAAAGGTGGCAGATTCTGCTCGAAAAGCAGTGAAGTTGGCAGAACCATACAAACCTTATGGCGAGCAATTCCTCGAATTCTGCTCCATTTCTTTATCCACATACCAAACATGCATGAAACTTACCAGAAAAAGTACCGAATTCTGCCATTTTTTATGCCGCCATTATCCGCATATGCCTAGTGTCTGTGTGTCTGTATGTCTGTGTACAGTAGGTATCGGTTATAGCGTGGGTGTTTGAAAAACGACATTTGATTCTTATTGCCGATATTTCTTACACACGATAAATCACGTGTGACATATCATATGCACGTGTGACATAATACATGTTTGGCATGTGGACACGTACAATCATGTAGGTCTACACAATCATGATACACACGGATCAGACTCGTGGTCGTGCTAGGCGACTGCGGAGCAGCAGATAGGAGAGAAGTCGGAAGAAAGAGTCCGACTGGACAGAAAAAGTGGTTCTACAATGCTCAGTTGGACATAACTCTCTTTTTGTGTTGAATATTATTGTATTGAGCATGCACAGAGCACAGATGTTATTACTACAGGCGATACACTTTGCACTAATCTGTCATATTTTGCTACACAAAATCCATTCTTAGGGCCGATATATTCTACTATGCGATAATACTGCTTGTAAGAATAAAAATACACATAAAATAGGTGTTATGATTATGAAAAAATGAGTGGTCATTCTTGTAGGCAGTATATTCTTGTATACGACCACACTATAACCGATACGCACTGTATATGTATGCATGTGTGTGTATGTGCGTGTCTGTGTGTGTGCGTCTGTGTGTCTGTGAAGCTGTTGAATGGTGTAATCCCAGTACAAGTTGCTATGTCTAACATAGCTGTTCGCTATCATCGCTTCCGCGATGGGCATGTCTGAGGTGTGTGTGTGTGTGTATGCATGTGTGTGTCTGTGTGTGTGTGGTGGTGTCTGTGTGTGTATGTGTATGCGTGCGTGTATGTCATGTACATTGTATACAATGTACAGTACATTACGCGGCGTTTGATGGTTCCACAACCCTGCAATCATCACAGATCTGACATTAATTAACCACTGCGTTCTAATAACTTTTTATGCCTACATGCATGTGCATCAATGGCCTGAAGACTGCCCTTGGCATAAAACTCTGACTAAGATAGCAACTGTTATACGCAGCGAGTGGTTTCTTGTCTTATAGTTATACTATAGTGTGAAGACTCTACATCCAGCTAACGGAGAACTGCTCTACACGTACTGTACATGCATGTATGTACATGCATAATTGTTAGATTGACAGCATGAAACAAGGTGGAGGACACTGTGTTCGGAAACAGCGACCTTACTACAAACTTCCGCGGTTGGCAGAGCCCCAGTCCCTGCGGATCATTTGAACCATAATGGGTGTTGAACCCGGATGTATAAATATGTACATGTACATGTACATGTACATACATACATGTTTTTCGATTTTGACAGCATGTTTATACAAGGCGAGGACGCGTAGTGCTCCTGACTACAACCATAACCCTTGTAACATGCTGTCAAAATCGAAAAACATTTTATTAAACTACCAAGCAAGGCTTCTGTGTATACATGTACATACATGTACATGTACTTTCTTCTACAGCCTTTCCTTACTAGTGCTCGCGTTGGGTTTTGGGAGGCAACGGCTACAAAAAAGTGTAGTCATAAATAATTATGTCCCATCCACACCACCACTTGCCTTGGACTGGTTGGAGTTGG